TGCACGTTTGCCCAGGGACTGGGATGGCATTGGAGGCGATGCAGATGGGACGGATGTGGGGAAATTCATTGAAGTTCACCGGAGTCTTCAGTTTTAGTAGAGCGATGTCGTTGAGCCCTTTAACTGAATCGTACCGAGGGTGTATGATGGCCCTGGCAGGAATCCGTATGGATTTGCTCTCGTTGGTTATCGACCAGTCCAAGTCTCCCAGGTTCACGTAGAACGTTTCCGAGAGACTAGGAACGGAAGTCGGTGAGAAAAGTGATTCGGGATCGTTTCCCGATGAAAATGATGGAAAAATGAGGAAGATGAAAACCTCTGATCGACACATTGAGCCGCGGTGAGAACGTATCGATCGTTGATGAGTGAACCCCCGCAGAATTCCCCCGAGTCGGAAAAGTATGCCATCCAGGGATACTTCCCCGCATAGGGAACGGGAATTGATCCGAGCACTCGATCAGTGTCAGAGGGAGAGGAATTGGCTGAACGATCCTTGCTTTTTTTCCCGTGTGGTGGACTCCCAGATATCCCACAAACTGTAATGAATTTTTTAAAACACCATCACTCGACTTTAATTTGCAAATTGAGGGGGGGTGGGAAATGTGAATCCTCGAACTCACCACAAGGTTGAGAAGGAGGAGGAGCAGGAGAAGGAGGGGGAGAAGTGGGAGAAGGAGGTGGAGGAGTGGCAGAAGGAGTTTCAGTCCCGTGAGCGGTGGCAGAAGGAGGTCCAGCACTAGGAGTAGTAGGAGAAGTAGAAGCAGGAGGAGGAGATACATTCGTGCTCTGACCTGAGTAAGTGAAAATGAAGATATTGTCGGTATTAGGTTGACCCCAATCGGCACGGGAAGTTTACAATCCCCCCATTAGACTCGTTTTCTTACCACACGTGATGGTGCAATTAAATCCGGAACTACTCGAAAGATACCCGTAAAGGATCGCTGTGAGATTTTTCCCCACGTTCACCGGATTTTCCAGGGCAGTCGAAGATCCACAGAGTCTGGGAAATACGAGTCACACCATGGTCGGTCCAGGCCCGTTCAGGCCCATCCGCTAAAGAAAATCCTGGAACGTGCACTTACTTCTGGTCGCCATAGAGGAACGCAGACTGCCAACACAGAGGGGAGTCGGGGAGATCGAAGTCGGAGCATCTTAAGGTCATTTCCGAGGGACACTGCCGGGAATCACAAGCCATTTCATACTATGGGATACTTCGTTCCACAGAAACCGAAGGAAAGGAAACTCACGGAGAACTTCCAATTGCAATAGTGCACGGATGGATAATTGTAGGGATGATTCATGCTGACGAGAGGAGAGGACTGTCCCGACGAGAGACGCACTTTCATCCCGCACAAAGGCTCCTGACGATTCTCTGCGCCAGGAACCCCTCATCAGTGCACGAGCATCGCAAAGAATCGGAATGAAGAGAAAGACAAGAATGCAGGAATTACCTGGCACTCCGATCGGAGACGACAGCGATCGGACGACCTCGCCTCCATCCATCTCCGAGCCCTATGGAGTTTCAAGATACCGATTATGTGATGGATCTGGAGGATTCTACCCGGAAGGGGGAGGTCGAAGGACGAACCCGGACGGAGACGGGGAGGAAGAGGAAGGCGGAGAAGACGAAAATCTCCATGCTCGAGCCCGTGTCGGAATTCGAGGCTCTGTGCGGTTGCCTTTTCCTGCTGCCTTATATTACGGGATCGACATGCGAACGTTACGAAGCCACATCGCACCAATTGCGTAGTTTAGTTTTTTTTTTGCGTATGGAGATCACGTTTCTGTAATTTCCCGAAATGGGATCTGTTGGCCTGAAATGACTTCTGAGCAGAGCCTTTCCACGTGCATGCCTGCTGGAGTTTCTGTTGGTGAAAAAAGTATTACCGGGAAATATCGACGAAATGTGTGAATGTTGCCATCCGGGCATTCGACGAGATTTCGTGATTGTCGAATTGCGATTTTTCCCGAAAAGTGTAGAAAATGATTTTTCTCTGAATCACCTAAGCATACTTAAATAAATATATAAATGGCATTCTAATTTGGTGAACGAGTGCAATGAATATTATTGGATCAAGGAAAAAAATAAATAAACCGACAATTTCGTTCGCATCGTTTTCGACAACCTAGGCGACGCGCGATGCATGCAGACAATCTTGGAGGATGCGAGGATCTTCTTTTCAGCTTATTTTGACAATTTTCGAAATGTCCAAACATTTACGATATTAAGAACATTTACGAGTTCCTTTCGTTCTCCATGATATTTCGGTGGTAATCAATAGAGGAACCGTTGAAGTCCCGAATATCATGAAATATCGTTTCGCCGCGCTTCGATCCTCATCTAAAATTTTACAAAAAAGGATCCCTACGACTCCGAAGAGCTCGTTCCTTTCAATCGGTTCTCGGGAGGGAGTGAAACCCGCCGTCACTTACAAGGGTCATTCCACGAGGGTTCGCGCGGATTTCACTCGAATCGATTTCGAAGTGACGAGGACATCTCATAGCGCAAAAAAAAAAGGGCCGATTGGAATTCTCCTCGTTCCCAAAGAAATGAAACAGCCTGGGCTGATTCGATTGAAAATCCCCGATTCGTCATCGAAGGATATCTGCACACGGTATCTGTGCGGCGTGAAGGTTGAACTCGTATAGGCGGGAAAGATTCACATGTGGTTCTACATATCGAAAGTTGTACTGCAAATAATTCCCGAACTCGCTTGAACTGTCTCGACCGGGCATTTTCGCCTTCACTCTCCTCGGAACACCATGAAACCGCATCAACGTCTCTCATTATTACAAATCTCAAGTGGGGCATAATTCTCTCTTGTCTTTAGTTTCGTTGCCTTACATGTTATGTTTGCTCCGATGACTTGGTTCTGGTTCCCTGCATCCTACTCCCAAGGCTGGGCTCACCTGACACGATTTTCGTTTTTCTATCCTGTGATGAACCCCAAATAGAAGGGCATTCGGAGATGTGAATCCTTGCACGGTTATCCGGTTTCATTTCCCAGGTATATCGAGGTATTGTAGACAAATACAACAACGATCTGCTTCGCACTTTGAAATTGCACTTTTAAAATTTTCACAAGTTGTCATGTGTTCAGACTGACCGGTGTCGAATGCAGTACCGGCACAGATGTTTTTGTGGCTGCCTTCGTTTTTGGGCAATAAAGAGTATGTTTAATGAACACAATCTCTATGACATCAAAGAAAAAAAAAAAAAAAACCTTTTTCATTTTTCTTTCTTGCAGATTGTTGTGCAGAAAGCCTTCATTCCTAGGAATAAGGAATAATTATTTGCTATATTAATGGGAGCATGAAGCATGAAAGGTGTGCTTTCGTCAGTCTCGGAGTGAGAAACCGTTTCGTGTTAACCTTTTCCAAAGCATGGAAATCACACAAAAGCATAGTGGAAATCCAAGGAACACTTGACCTTCATTCTGAACCGTTCCACCCAAAATTGTGTTTCTGCAAGGGTCCTTTCATTATCCCCCCCTCCCCCTCCCCTCCCCTCCTTGGGGCCTGTAGAGGCTTAAGCAGGATGCGGGCCGGCCATATCAGCACGGATCGGAGTAGCAAAAAGCTCGGTCGACGATCGCGTTTCGGGTCGGAGTGGGCCTCGATTCCAATCGGGCTTATCCTGTTTTAACTCGGAAAAGCCAACCCGTGCAGGCCTCTGACGCGCAGAAAAACAGAACACTCGGAAGAAAAAAATTTCACAGCTTCCTTTTAAGACTTTTAACCCAATGAGTATCGCCATCGACGTCCTCCAGGACGTCGCTCGTAAACTTCCCGTGCCGATTGGGATCAACCTAATACCGACAATATCTTCATTTTCACTTACTCAGGTCAGAGCACGAATGTATCTCCTCCTCCTGCTTCTACTTCTCCTACTACTCCTAGTGGTGGACCTCCTTCTGCCACCGCTCACGGGACTGAAACTCCTTCTGCCACTACTCCACCTCCTTCTCCCACTTCTCCCCCTCCTTCTCCTGCTCCTCCTCCTTCTCAACTTTGTGGTGAGTTCGAGGATTCACATTTCCCACCCCCCCTCAATTTGCAAATTAAAGTCGAGTGATGGTGTTTTAAAAAATTCATTACAGTTTGTGGGATATCTGGGAGTCCACCACACGGGAGAAAAAGCAAGGATCGTTCAGCCAATTCCTCTCCCTCTGACACTGATCGAGTGCTCGGATCACTTCCCGTTCCCTATGCGGGGAAGTATCCCTGGATGGCATACTTTTCCGACTCGGGGGAATTTTGCGGGGGTTCACTCATCAACGATCGATACGTTCTCACCGCGGCTCAATGCGTCGATCAGAGGTTTTCATCGTCTTCATTTTTCCCTCATTTTCATCGGGAAACGATCCCGAATCACTTTTCTCACCGACTTCCGTTCCTAGTCTCTCGGAAACGTTCTACGTGAACCTGGGAGACTTGGACTAGTCGATAACCAACGAGAGCAAATCCATACGGATTCCTGCCAGGGCCATCATACTCCCTCGGAACGACTCGGTTAAAGGGCTCAACGACATCGCTCTACTAAAACTGAAGACTCCGGTGAACTTCAATGAATTTCCCCACATCCGTCCCATCTGCATCGCCTCCAATGCCATCCCAGTCCCTGGGCAAACGTGCA